TTTCTTGTAGTATAGTGGGCAAGATACCTGGACAACCCTGTCCCTCTGAAAGCACCTAAAAATACTGGATATAAAATAAAAAAAAAAACCTTAAAAACATCTATAAAGTAGCACCAAATTATTTTTTTTTTGAGACAGTCTCGCTCTGTCGCTCAGGCTGGAGTGCAGTGGCGTGATCTTGGCTCACTGCAACCTCCGCCTCCTGGGTTCAAGCGATTCTCCTGCCTCAGCATCCTGAGTAGCTGAGATTACAGGCAAGCACCACCATGCCTGGCTAATTTTTGTATTTTTTGTAGAGACGGGGTTTTACCGTGTTGGTCAGGCTCATCTCAAACTCCTGACCTCGTGATCTGCCTGCCTCAGCCTCCCAAAGTACTGGGTTTACAGGCGTGAGCTACCGCACCTGGTCCATAGCACCAAGTTCTTAAGCCAGCAACTGTGTAGACAAGAACCCTGAGAGGCACCCAGAACACTTAAACTGATGTTTGCCCTGACGGCATTTGTCCAACAAGGTAAATAAGAAAAATGAGAGGCAAGGCTAAGGGCCTGCCTAAGTACACCAAAATTATATTGGCAGAAAACTTTTTTGTTAAGACTGCCTACAGTGTATTAAATCTATTTAACACCATTAAAAACATAGTACAGCTCTTCATTAATAAGCCTAGTTATTTAAAAAATAATCTTAGCTTTTATTTTAATGATGTGAAGAAACAGGTCTTTGATTTAAGCAATAGGCATTAGCTCAGTTATCCTTCCCAAAGAGTGAATTAAGCAGAAAGTACCACTAGTCTTATTTGCTTGTGTGGTATCCCACAGGGAATTGAAGATGGACTAGGGTCACTTATTTAAGGTAGGAGCAGGTCGAATTGGCCTGACAACCTCACTGAGTTTACAGAGCACTGGGATGACACATGACCCTTTTCCAACCCGGCTGCTAAAATAGTTGTGGTTTTCTAGTACTAGGAATGAGTCCTAGGAATTGACTGACAATTGTGTTGTAAAGCATGTGTATTTGAGAGGCCTTCTATAAATAGCTCATTTCCCCCCTATATTCAGGAAAAAGATTTTAGAACTTCATGAGAAATAAGACAAAGAACAAGGCATATGGGGCAAAATATCAATATTTGTATGTAGTGAGAACTAGGATAGACGATACAGCTTATCTCTGTGGGCAAATAGGCTTCCTCATATTGAACCCCACATTAAGGAAGCTTAGCATTCCCCAGACACAGCAGCAGTCTCCAAGTGGGGTACCTGTCCAGTTAGGGCTTACAACTAGGAGATATGCGACGACAACTCTGTGTGGGTGGGCCTGTCCCCAAGGGGGGAGGGGGAAGAGTCGAGCTGAGCACTTAGGAATATCCAGTTTTTTCTCTTCAAATTTGTCAAATGGATGTCACATTTTATTTCCCCAAGTAGAGTGAATAAAGGAACAAAGAGAGGCTAGAAGTGTTAGGTTAATTTATTCTGGCTGCATTGAAGGAAACGGGAATGGGAAGGAAGAGTTCTGTCAGATACTCATTCTGAGAAATGAAAAATGTGTTGAAGTTTGAGAAATTGAAGGATATTTAAGATTTCTTTCCTAGCAATCTGGTAGTTTGTACTATATGGCATTGATAATAATGGGAATAAAAGCTAACATTTATTGAGAATTTGCTACTTTTCATGCTCTAGATTGAGTCTTCGTGTATGCTGTCTCATTTAATTCTCAAACTGCTTGTGTTTTGTTTTCTTCATTTTGTAGATGATGAAGCTAGGGCAAAGAGATAGAAATACTCAAGGATATATAACTAGCAAAATGCAAAATCTACGGCTTGAACTTAGACATTACTCAATATCTTCTGCTCATTTTTAAATGTTTTTATATGAAAAATACATAAATTTGGATTGAAAAAGCAATACATGCATATTGTAACAAACCAAACAATGTAAAAATATCTAAAGTTGAATTAGTGGGCTCCTTCTCCCCGCAATCCATACCTATTATAATCATCATTAACAGAGTATTATATACCTTTCTTTGCCCTTCCTTTACATATGCATTTATCTTGTTAAACAAATATAGGATTATATAATCTGTAATGTATTTTTTATTTTAATTACGGTGTCATTTATATAAAATGCTCAGATATTTAATGTATGTGTGTTTTTTTTATATATATATATAAAGAGACATATCAATTGATATGACAGCGGTGACACTGCAGAGCAGGCGAGAGAAGACACGCTTTGACTCAGTGATATGATAGATGTAAAAATGAGAGCTAGCCCAACAGTTTGAATGGACTGATGCCACGAAACTATACACTATTGAGTTGAAATTTTAGGTCAATTTTATAT